AACTACTGTACAATTGCACTCATTTCACACCCTAGCAAGGTTATGCTCAAAATCCTACAAGGTAGACTTCAGCAGTATGTGGACTGAGAACTCCCAGAAGTACAAGCTGGATTTTGAAGGGGCTACTTCTCCTTCATTGACTACGCAAAAGCCTTTGACTGTGTGGACCGTAGCAAACTATGGCAAGTTCTTAAAGAAATGGGAGTGCCTGACCACCTTATCTATCTCCTGAGAAATCTATATGTGGGATAGGAAGCAACAGGTAGAACTGGATATGGAACAACTGATTGGTTCAAAATTGGGAAAGGAGTATGACAAGGCTGTATATTGTCTCCCGGCTTATTTAACTTATACTGTATGCAGAATACATCATGTGAAAGTCTGGACTGGAGGAATCTGAATTAAGATCGCCGGAAGAAAAAGCAACAACTTCAGATATGCAGATGATACCACTCTGATGGCAGAAAGTGAGGAGGAATTAAAGAACCTCTTAATGAGGGTGAAAGAGGAGAGTGCAAAAAATGGTCTGAAGCTCAACATCAAAAAAACTAAGATCATGGCTACTGGTCCCATCACCTCCTGGCAAATAGAAGGGGAAGATATGGAGGCAGTGACAAATTTTATCTTCTTGGGCTCCATGACCACTGCAGATGGTGACAGCAGCCATAAAATTAAAAGATGCCTGCTTCTTGGGAGGAAAGTGATGACAAACCTAGACAGCATCTTAAAAAGCAGAGACATCACCTTGCTGACAATGGTCCATATACTCAAAGCTATGGTTTTTCCAGCAGCAATGTATGGAATTGAGAGCTGGATCATAAAGAAGGCTGAGTGCCGAAGAATTGATGCTTTTGAATTATGGTGCTGGAGGAGACTCTTGAGAGTCCCCTGAACTGCAGGGAGAACAGACCTATCCATTTTGAAGGAAATCAACCCTGAGTGCTCACTAGAAGGACAGATCCTGAAGCTGAGGCTCCAATACTTTGGCCATCTGATTAGAAGAGAAGACTCCCTAGAAAAGACCCAGATGTTGGGAAAATGTGACAGAAAGAGGAGAAAGGGACAAAAGAGGACGAGATGGTTGGACAGTGTCATCTAAGCTACCAACATGAATTTGACCAAACTCCGGGAGGCAGTGGAAGACAGGAGGGCCTGGCGTGCTGTGGTCCATGGGGTCACGAAGAGTCAGACACGACTTAATGACTAAACAACAACAACAACAACAAAGAAACACATGTCCATAGAGTGTCAGTCCATTGCATGTCCTTTAAAACTGTGGCTCTCAGTCTTCCATACCTTGTGTACCAATCACTCTTTAAAAGAATACATAATAGTTTAGGTTTTTTTAAAGCCTACATTTCCAGAGAAAGACATTTCTATATTTACAGGCATTCTGTTCACGTATTGATCATTTAAGATAAATTTGAAAAATTTAGAATTTTAGGAGTAGTGTTGGTTGTTGTTTAGTCGTTAAGTCGTGTCTGGCTCTTCAGGAACCCATGGACCAAAGCACATCAATGTGTAGAGTCACCTCTTGGTTTGTTGAAAAAGAGTGTTTGTGATGACCAGCTTGTTCTCTTGACAAAATTCTATTAGCCTTTGTCCTGCTTTGTTTTGAACTCCAAGGCCAAACTTACCTATTGTTCCTTTTATCTCTTGACTTTAGCATTCCAGTCCCCTGTAATGAGAATAACATCTTTCTTTGGTGTCAGTTCTAGAAGGTGTTGTAAGTCTTCATGGAATTGGTCAATTTCAGCCTCTTCAGCATCAGTGGTTGGTGCATAAACTTGGATTACTGTGATGTTGAAAGGTCTGCCTTGGATTCATATTGAAATCATTCTATTATTTTTGAGATTGTATCCCAGTACTGCTTTTTCCACTCTTTTGCTGACTATGAGGGCTACTCCATTTCTTCTATGGGATTCTTGCCCACAATAATAGGTATGATAATCGTCTGAATTGAATTTGCCCATTCCTGTCCATTTTAGTTCACTGACGCCCAGGATGTCAGTGTTTATTCTTGCCATCTCCTGTTTGACCACATCCAGCTTCCCAAGGTTCATAGATCTTGCGTTCCAGGTTCCTATGCAGTATTTTTCTTTGCAGCATCGGACTTTCCTTTCACTTCCAGGCACGTCCGCAGCTGAGCGTCCTTTCGGCTTTGGCCCAACCACTTCATTAGCTCTGGAGCTACTTGTCCTTGTCCTCCGCTCTTCCTCAGTAGCATGTTGGCCGCCTTCTGACCTGAGGGACTCATCTTCCAGCACCATATCTTTTAGCCTTTTGTTTCTGTCTGTGGAGTTTTCTTGGCAGAGATACTCCAGGTGGATCATGTTTCGTCAGAACTCTCCATTGTGACCTGCCCGTCTTGGGTGTCCCTGCATGGCATAGCCCATAGCTTCTCTGAATTACTCAAGCCCTTTCTCCATGAAAAGGCAGCAATCCATGAAGGGGAAGTGTTGGGCATAAACAAAAAGAAAAATTCCATTAATAGAATGGAATGATTCCATCAGTCCAGTGGAGAAAGATGTGCAACGTGTTGTTGTTATGAGAACCTTGTATCTTGCTTAGACAGTTCCTGCATGCCAGTGATAACACCTACATTCAGAACAACTAGTTTGAGAAACAGTGTCTGGCATGGATATTGTGGGCATTCCTGCCTCAAGTCTAAATTTCGTCAGTGCTACGGAATAATCAGAAAAATGGCAACAGCTCCCTCTAGCAGCGCAATGTTGGAAGCACCTTGTTCTACTCTAGTTCACAGCTCAATGCTGCACCATCCTTTTCTTCTCTGATCAGAGATGCTAATACATTTCTGGGAAGCTTCTAGCCTCCAAGATGTTATTGGACTCCAATTCCTATTGTCTCTGACCATTGGCTGTGTTGTCTGGGGCTGATGGGAGTTGGAGTACAAAATTTGGAGTGCCATACTTTTCCCCACACTGATCTGTAAGTTCCCATATGACTGCCTTTCATTTGTTTCCCTCCCCTTTGCACCTCTCTCTGCCACATTTTAAAGGGTTTTGGAATGGATACCAATCCTATTTCATGCAACGCTCTTTCTGGGCTTATATCACACACTACAGGATTTATGTTTTAGATGTATATTTCATAGTAAAATATAAAATAAAGTAGTATGTGTCGTGCTTTTCGAGTGCTCGGAGCACATTGCTTGCATTTTTACTTATCTTGTTCAAACCCTTTCTGTTCTGCCTTTGTCTTAAACTGAAACATCCATGACAGTTAGCGTAACAGTTCTAAAAATCAGCTCAATATATACAGTATTTAACAGACAAGGCAGAACTAAATAAACACAGAATGAGCAAAATAAACATACAAAATAGAATTGCATATCTTAAGACAAGAGAAAGACCAAACGTTTGCTGAAACTCAGAGCTTGGAAAAGTTGTTGTTGTTTTTTGTTGTTTTACAACAATTGTCATGCTAGTTGAGCGATTCTTGAACCAAAATAATGTTTCTAAGCTCTGTCTAAGCTGGCAACAGTGTGCCATCAAAGAGTTGGCTTGTTGTATTGGTTCCCAACCTTGCATAACCCAGGTGCTCTTGGACTGCAGTTCCCAGAAGCCTTCACTACCAGCTGTGCTAGCTGTGGTTTATAGGAGTTGCAGTCCTGGGTTTACCCAAGGTTGGCAACCACTGGCTAAGTGAATCTTTGGAAACACCCTGAAAATGACCATGATGACTAAAGACTCTCAAAGTGAAATAAACTTGCCAAGTTCTGGCCATGGAACATTGAGAGCCACAACTGACCAGGCTGCCTTGCCTTCTTGGGCAACAGCATTGTCTTTGTAATTGAACAACCCTTTAAGGTAGGGCAATGAATTACTGGTTGGACATACTGTATCATACTGAAGTGAGGTCAGATCAAGAAAAAGCAGATACATAGTGAACCAGTTTCTGTACACTAAAGTTCTTCTGCTCTTGGCAATCTTAGAACTGCAACTGTATGGAATAAATCAGCTCTAAGTAGTTCACAGAAATGATTTTGTGAGTTTGGGAAGGGAGAACTTGAAATGGAACGGTCTTGTCAATTCACTGTTTGCACATAATGAAGTGAGTTCAGATCAAGAAAAAGCAGATACATAGTGAACCAGTTTCTGTACACTAAAGTTCTTCTGCTCTTGGCAATCTTAGAACTGCAACTGTATGGAATAAATCAGCTCTAAGTAGTTCACAGAAATGATTTTGTGAGTTTGGGAAGGGAGAACTTGAAATGGAACGGTCTTGTCAATTCACTGTTTGCATCCTTCTTCTGGTTCTAGCCATGTTGACCTTCTAGTGTCATGGAATTGTGGTTTTTTTTTCTTTAGCACATTTGACTTATCATAGTGACTTTGTCTTAAAGCAGCTATGTGGCTCATTTCAGGCATGAACTTCCTTAAAATAAGTTGAAATGAGGATTGAGTTCTTCTTTCTATACTTTAAAAACAACACAACACAACAAACTCACACACCCAAAACTTGTGATTTTTTAAACAGAAGCACTTTCTTGAGAGCAGAAGTAACTCCTTCAGCACTTCAAAGCAAAAGCCTAAAAGAGTTGTGTGCTAGCTCACAGATATTTAGCATTAGCTAGTTATTTTCAACACTCTGAAAATTCCAGTGTTAATGTATCTCATTTCCCTTTGGTAACACCCGTCACCTGTACTTGCTGTGTATACTCTGTGTACCTGTGGCTGAACATTGTACTTTGTGCATCTGAAGAAGTGGATTGTAATCCACAAACACTATGCCACAATTAAGCGGTTAATCTTAATGTATCACAAGGCTTGTTTTCTGTTTTTGTTTGCTTTGTTTCATATTTCTATAAGCTGAAACAAGCTAATACTACCAACTCTTCAAAAGGTATTGGAAACCTACTCTTTGTTTCTATTGCGATCTCCAAACACCTTTTTGAAGGTAAAAGCTGTCGCACAGCAACAAAGAATTAAGCCTCCTGTGCTGTTACCAGCTAACCATATATTTGTTTTTCTTTCTAGAGTATGTACATTTTCTTACACACGGTGAAAGGAACGCCATTCGAGACCCCAGATCAGGGGAAAGCCCGGCTCCTCACTCATTGGGAACAGATGGATTATGGTGTACAATTCACTGCTTCTCGTAAATTTCTGACTATCACACCGATTGTTCTGTGAGTACTAAAGAGGGGAGAGGTGGGGCTTGTACAGTTATGCTTTGGGAGTGCTTGGAGATGCTGGTTTGACTTCTATTTTATTTTATTCATTAATTAATTGTAAGCTAAAACAGTTAAAAACAATTCAAAACAATAGTGATTAGTAATGCTAAGTAATGCTCAAGATGGGGAAACAGAATCAATAAATAAAATCAAGTATTGACAGGAAGGAAGGCCTGCCTAAAGAGCCAAGTTTTTAATTGGCTCTTAAAAACACCCAGCGAGGGAGCCAGGCGAATCTCTGATGGGAGGTTATTCCAGAGCCGAGGGGCCACTGCCAAGAAGGCCCGGTTTCTTGTTGTTTCTTTCCGGGCCTCTCTCGGCATTAGGCTCCTCAGCCATCCCTCCTGGCTATGGCAAGTGATTCGGGTAGATCTAGGTGGGAGAAGGCGATCTGCCAGGTATCAAGGTCCTAAACCGTTTAGGGCTTTATACGTCATCATCAACACTTTGAAGTCAATGTGGAAACGAATGGGCAGCCAGTGCAAGGCAGCCAGAGTGGGAGAGATGTGCTGGTACTTTCTCACCCCACTGAGGAGTCTGGCCACCGCATTCTGCGGCTTCTGCTACAATCTCAAAGGTAGCCCCACGTAGAGCACATTATAGTGGTCTAATTTCGAGATTACACGCGCATGGACGAAAGTGGTGAGAGCCCTGCCATCAACAAAGAGTCTACAACTCCCAGAATCCCCCTTCCATGTAGACTGGGGGCTCTGGTCTAAAAAGGTAGCTTTTCCAAGCTCTACTCTGCTGACTTCACTGTGCGCTGAATACTGCTCTCCTCAGTGACGTAAGAAGGAGAGTCAATATAGGATTTCAGGTAAGTTCTATAGAAGACAAAGATAGAATGGGTTGTATGAATGTAACCTTGTACAGGTCGGAGTTGCATAAACTAGCTTGAGAACATGAGAAGAGCTGTGCTGGATCTCACCAAATGTCAGTCTAGCCCAGTGGTTCCCAACCTTGGGTCCCCAGATGTTCATGGGCTAAGAAACAGAAACCTTCACCATTGGCTGTGCTGACCAAGATTTCTGGAAGTTGTAGTCCAAGAGCATCTTGGGAACTAAGGTTTGGAACTACCGTTTTATATTTTTCAAATACTTCTCAATTCTTTTAAATAACATTATACATTTTAAATGTAAATGGTTCATTTTGTACTCTGGCCTGAGATGCTGCAAAATTGCCCCTGGGGGCATCACGTGGCTGTGAACCGTGAATTGTACTGCCCAGTTTATGTTTACATGGTTGTAGCCACTTACATCTTTTCAGAATCTCTTTCCTCATTTGTTCCTGGGTTAGCTGGGAGAAAGGAACATGTGCAGTAAAGGCCTTTCCTGTTTTTTTTTTCTCCTTTGCAGTTATTTTCTTACCAGCTTCTACACAAAATACGACCGGATACACTTCATCATCAACACCATCTCCCTGATGAGCGTCTTGATCCCCAAACTGCCGCAGTTACATGGAGTCCGTATCTTTGGGATCAACAAGTACTGAACTCAGATGCCTTTATTTGCCCTTCTGATGAGCTGTGAGAGGCCAGTTAGAGGACTTCCTTTCTTTAGTTCTGGCTGCATCTTCAGGATACAGTTCCACAACGGCTCTTTTTAAATGGGCACATATTCCACTGAATGCCAGGATTCGGCAAAACTCAACCAGCTCAAGAGGTCATTGAATCCTGGGTTGAGTTTAACTTGCAGAGAGACACAGGGGAAGTGAAAACATTATTATTAGTAGTAGTCTCATTTTCCTGTTCAGAATCTGAAAATTGCTGAAGACAACATTGAAGTTTGGAAAGGTACTTATAGCTTGTTCTCTGAATATGAGAGATGTCCAGCCCTGCTGAACACTGAAAGCTGAACATAGATAGAAAGTAGGAGTCATAAGGTGATATGTAGGATGATAGCAAATGCACTTTAACACGAAACTGTCCCATCTGGGGAATTTTGACTTGTTGAAAGGGCTGTCTCAGAAATTTTAAGACATGCACTAGAAATAACTTAAGCAAATTTCTTTATGGTCTGGAAACCTTAGTTGATTGTTTATTCCCTTTAATTGTTTGGTAAGCAGGTGGGGGTGAATCTTATTACCTCCACGAAGGCTGGAGCTGTTCTCCGGTTACAGAGCTGTGCTCTTTCAAAATTGTCTTTGCTTTTGCTCTATGGGAAGTGGCTTTATAGTAAAACAAAACAGGGTGAGAAGGATGAGGGAAGAGAGAACATTCTTGTGTTGCCTCTTGGGGCTTTCTGTCCTTGCTAGACAGTCGACAACCGAATCACCTGTCTCTCAAAATACAGGTGACCTATTATGATCCTGCACAGTGACAGTGTTGTGGAAAATCAGGGATGACATCAAGAAACTCATGCTTCCTTGCCACACTTCTTTTTGGAAATCTGATGTAGATCAATACATTTGATTAGGTACGACTGTGTTGATAGTACTGACCCATGCCAGCACTGAAGTTCATAGGGACCGATCTGTTACTGCCCGTTGTGACCTGAAACTAAGATGGTGCATTTGTGTTTCCTTGACTTCTGCCATTCAAGTGGCATTAAGAGGACCACCACATTAGAATGAAGTTTGTCCTCCATCACTTAGAATATATATAGCTTACCGTATTCTTGACCTGAAAGGATTGTGGCGCATCAGACTACTTTCAAAAAAGCAAAAGAGTGTGGTTGATATTAGAGATGGAATGTTCGTATTTGTCTGCTGGAGGAGACAAATATGAATTTCACCGCCACGAAATTTCTGTTTTGGACCCTTCCCACCTCCACAAACAGCCTGGTCCGCTCACCGAGCTTTGTGCTGCTGTAGTCGGTAACTGCGCCAATTGCGGTAGCCTGGCCGGCACTTCCTCACCTCCCTGTATTGCTGGCCACTCAGCAGCTGAGTGAGGAGACTTGCCACCCCACCTCCTTGCCAAAGTGGCCAGCAGCACAGAGAGATGGGGAAGCGCTGGCCGGGCTACTTCCACGATTGGTGGGATGTGGCCAATGACAGCCACGTGCACTGTGCGAAGCCCGCAGAGTGGACCGGGTTGGTTCTGGGGGGGGGAGAGAATGGACCTCCATGGCATCTGTGGCACTGTGCTTCGTATTTGTATCCCCAAGGATACGATTACAAAGCTCCCGTGTCTGGTTGATATACGAAAGAAAGAGCAGCCTGTCTTCTACTAATGAAGTCATAAGTCGATGGTTTCCAACTGCAGCTTTTTATTAGCACGGGGGCAGAAGCAAGCAAAACAACAGTTCTGTGACCTATGATATGGTATGGCATGTACCGAGGGCAATATTTAAAAGACAGTCTGGAACCCAGTTTACTGGACTTGAAAAAAGACATTTCTGTTGAGATTGGATTATTAGTGTCTTGATATGAGTTGGCTTTTTATTGTCAAGGATGCAGCCTAGTAAGGAGAATTTATAAGTAATCCTCCCCCCACCTGTCAGAGAAATGCACACAAATGATTTGTTAGATTTGTTTAATTCCAATGTAATGGAATTAAACAAGGCTGGAGTATTTCCTGGCATTTTATTTCTCAGAGTGCCTAAAACACGGACACCAGCATTATAACCTCACCTCTGTACTAGAAAATAATTCCTCTGCTTTCAGGAGTTTCTAAAGAGAGGACATGTCTTCCTGCTACCAAATCTGGCATAATCTCCTTTTTTTCAAAAATTAAACCTATTCTTTAAAAAAGGAGAAGATTAAATGAGAGGGACTATGTACTCTCATACACAAAGCTTGAAAGAATGTGGGGAGAGAAGAGGGAAATTGGGACCTTCAGATTGCAATGAAACTGCACTGGCAGTGTTACAGATAGAGCTTGGGAAAGTTGCTCTTGGGGACTACAAAGCCAATAACCTCACAAACAGTCTGATCAATGGCTGTCCTGGCCATGGAGTTCTTTCGGTTGTAGTGCAAAAGAGTAACTTTCCTGAAGGCTAACTGGCAGACACGTTTGGATGTTATTCACTGTATAGTTTGGCAGTCTTTGTACCACAGGTGACACATCTAGTGTTTCAATAATATACTGTTAATGTATTTTTGATGGTAATACGTGTTTGGCAATATTTACAGAGCATCTAAAACATCTAGTGTTTCCGTAATAATATAGTTAGCATATTATTATTATTAAAGTAGAGGCCTCTTCCTGCTTCTGGGCTTGAGTACAGAGATGGAAAACTTTTCCCTTCTGGACTACATTTCCCACGATCCCACAGCCAGCATGGCTGTGGCAATGTCCATCCTGGCTTTGGGATTCTGGGAAATGTAGTCCAGAAAGGCAGCATCTCCTGTCTCTGTTCTAGAGCATGAGTATGACTCTAATGACCTGACCCTGGCGACTGCTTACTTTCCAGACCTAGCCCAGAGGAAGGCCACCCCATGCTATCATTGGGACGCATCAATCCCTTGTCATGTTGATATATGATTATGGTTATTATTGAAACTGACAATTATAATCAAGTGCAGGCACATGACTTTGCAAACTAGGAAGGCAGTAGTCACTTTAAAAATATCGGTAAACTATATCCTGGTGATGACGAGCTTTGTTCAGAACTTGTCATCCAACTACAGAGAAGGAGGCTGGATCCTCCCATTGTAGTTCTTCTCCAAGAGAAGGAAGTGACCTTCCCAGCCCAGTGCTGCTGTCTGCAAAGTGGCACAAAGGATTAACTTAGTAAGCTATTCACCAAAATCTTGAGAAGATTCTGGACTGCTGTTAAGTTCCAATAGAGCCTGTGTTTTCAATCCTGTCAACAATATCTCAAAGGCAAGGTTCCTTTCCATATTTACAAAAAGGGGAAATAACAAGAATAAATAACAAGAGAACTATACTAAGGAAGAAAGGCAAATATGTTTATCCATTGGCATTTTGCTTAAGACAAACAAATTTAGAAAGGCTTAATGAATTGGATGTGGGAGTTTTTATGTTTTGCTGTTATGGGAGCTTTTGCTTTAGTTTTGTTTAATTTTCTCCCCACTACTTCCTTTCTTTTTTTTTAATGCCACTCTTTGTCTGATGGTGACATTTACTGAGATGTTGAAATATGTGGTGAAAGGCTGATTCCTCGTTCTTAGAGATCTGTACCATTGGGGGGGCAGGGTGCTTACAGTGCGACTGGTTGTCCCCCGGCCAGAAACTGAATTCCAGTAATGATGTTGCAAAATGAGCGAACGCACAATTTGAACACCAGCTCTTGCTTTGACGATAAAGCAAAATAAGCAGAAGAAATGATCTCTTGATCAGTGTTATGCATGGCTGTAGAATGAATTCACTTTAAAGGGCTTGTATATGTATTTATTAGCACTATTCCAGTGTGGATTGCTATGGTCTTGAACATCGTTCAAGGCTGCACTCTTCTGAAACACAATCAGAAACCTTATTTTTCAAGGGGGGGGAGTCGTTGTTATTTGAAAAGAAAAGGGCTCATGAAGGTTGTATATATGTGTTTGTCAGTGTTCATGAGACTTCTCTGTAAGCTCCTGTCATCACATTTTTCATCTTTCTAAGTTGTAGTGAGCAATCATGGCCTTTTCGATCTTAGCCCACCAGGATCTCAGCTTATTGGCGACAAGAAGCATGCTGGCATATACTGCTTGATCATTCCCCCTTGGAGCAGAAGCAGCTATAGAAACCACAGACCTTCTAGCCATGGTTAGTTTGTTGTTGTAATTTCCAAACTTGTCAGGAGCTAGCCCTCTTGCCTGTCTCTTCTGCAACAAGCTGGAGAAAAATAAACCAGAATGCTTAGTGGGATTGTCTCTGGCTTGTAGAGGCAGACAAAGCACAGAGTGCTGGCTCTTACTAGGTTTAGACGTCACAATAAACTACAGACACAAAGTCTGCTTAAACGGGAATGCTTGGCCAGTGAAGACCAGCATGTTGGTTTGCCCACGGAAAGCTGGAATTGCTTAGAAGTCTTCCGTGATGTAACAATCAAGCATGCCCAATATCTTTCAGTGTTTATAAGAATTCCTGAAAGTACTACTGCTGCTGCTACAGAAGAAAAGGATAGTAGTGGTTAGAATTTTCTTTATGAAAACTGTAATGCAATCTTTTACAATACAAGAGCTGCCCAGTTAGACCTCTGGCAAAGGTTATAGCTACTGGAGGAAAGGGAATTGAACTGAAGCCTATTCCAGAGATCTTGATGAAGTTGAAATATGTGAAGGCTCAGCTGAGGGTTACTAGAGATAGACAATATTTTAATAAGCCAGGTTTGAGGACTAGCCCTATATGCTTATTTGCTGAGGTCTTGCTCCTTGTGGTTTGTAAAGTCGAAGTTAATATGGCCTTTGGCTCACCATGATCATATTCCCTGATGAAGCTGCTTGTTGATTCTGCCGTATCTGAGTTCAGATAGTGACCTTATGAATATTCCCTCCCCATAAGTGAATAAGACTTTATCAGGTTTGGTTGCTTCCCCTACGGAGGCAAGATTCTCAATGTCAGAGGTAAGTAAAGTCAGTCCCTCAGATGCTGCCAGATCGGGATTCCCAAGGTCCTTTGCTATCAGCTGTGCTGCCTGAGATTGCTGGGAGCCACAGTCCAACAGCATCTGGAGGTCCACGCTTTGTCCCTTCCCCATCATCAGATTGCATTGTTGCAAGTTAAAACAAAACATCAGTGCCCTCACTGAGCAACTGATCTGAGTTTGCAGAGGGAAGGAACAGGGTCTCTTCTTTTGCAGAGTCCGGGATTGCTCCTGCTATTAGTAAACTGATCGCCCCCACTCTGGGTTCATAACAAAATCTCTTTGGCAGAAACTGGTTGGCATACATTCAGCTTAGCCATGAATTGGGCTGTGTATGTGTGTGTGCTAATTGTCAGCCAATACAATTAGGCCCTTTTGATTATGAGTTCCAAATGGCTTCCCAACACAAGTCATCATAAGATTGAAAAGTGACTTGAGTCCTGCCATTTCCTTTAAAGCAGGCAACTGTTGGCCTCCATATGTTATTCTATAAGCCCTTAGACAATGTGATCGGTGGTAAACCATTATGAAAGTTGCAGTCCAAAAACATCTGGAGTCACAGTTGACCCCCCATGACCCCCCCACAACAAACGCAGAAATGGCAATGCAGATAGAATTATCTTTCCTGGAGCTGGGCAGACTTCAGCCTGTTCTTCCCCCCTCTGCATTTTTTAAAAACTAGAATCATGAGATCTACAAACCAGAGCCTTGGCACTTGGAATTCAACAGCCCTGAGCCCAGGGAATTGGTCTGAGAACAAGAACAGAGTACAACCCATGGTCCGTCCATCCACACGTTGATTTCTGGTCATCTGAAACTCTCTAACTTTCCGCAGTTTCTTGGGGAGATGTGGCCCTAAGTGTGGTCAGATATCTAAATCAAGTAGGCAAACAGGTGACTGGGCCAACTGAAGATGCAGAAGGAGACATGTGTTGCCCAGACTGAGGAACATGAAAGATTTCTTTAGCATAACTTGGTTGGTTGTGTGGGGATCATCTTTCTCTTGAGATCAGGAGGAGGATGAACTACTGTCCTAGTGTCTTAACTGTTTGCTGCTGTCTGCTCCAACCAGCAGGGGTTGCTCAGTGAACAGGGAGATGCTTGTTGTCCTGTAATGTTTCTCCTTTGAATCCTGCAACACTGAGTTCCTTTATGGCCACAAGAACCCAGGAGAATACAGCAATTGGAAAAGTTTGGGGGTTTGGACTACAGCTCCCAGAATTCCCCTAACGAGCAAGGCTGCTGGCTGTATGATCTGAGGATTATGGAGTTGTGTTCAAAAAAATAGTTTTTTCAAGCTCTGGAAACTAGAATTCTTTCCCCTGCCCCAAAATTCATGGTAATGGTCGGGAGATCTGAAAAATCTGACTGCACTGTAGTCTGTTTTAATCTATTTATGGTGAGTCATTCCAGGTTCTGGAATGGCAAATGGCATGCTGTCTCTCAAGTTGAAGAGAATTCTCCTCAGGGTGAAGGACAGCAAACTAATCTGGACAATCCAATCAGGTGTGTGTTGGCACAGGGAAAAAGCTCAAGAACCATTAATACTTAATGGCTCCTTGTTAGAGCTTGGGAAAGCTGCTTTTTGAACTACAGTTCCCAGAATCCCCATCCTCAGCACAGCATGGCTACTGTATGTAGCACGCCTGGAAGTTTAGAAAAAGGAGGAGCCACATCATTATATCCAAAATCCTTCCCAGGCTTAGCCAGCACCCGTGGAAGATGCTGTTTACTAAGGATACAGATACTTGTGAGCTTAGCTGACAGCTTGGCAGCACCTGGTGAAATCTTGGTTTCCTTCAGCTTTAGGCTGTTTTCTTCTCAAGGGTATCACTTTTTTAATCTAGCTATTTAAAAAATATGGTAGTAAGCTCGTTAGGAAGGTAAGATAGCAGAAATTGCATTTTCATGACATGGGTGGTTCTTTAATTTATAACAAAATAACCTATTGGATTGATTTGTCATCATTTGTGAAATACAGTTTTTAGAATATGTATGTAAATGTTATTTTCCAATTAGTTTTATCCATTTTACATGGAACAAACTTGTGTCAGACATAGAATTACAGTTGTATTGGTTTCTTCTCTCTACCCCCTTCCGTCTCCAGATCTCTTCTTTATTGTATGTATAAATAAGAACAGAAATAATGCATCTGGAGAACTTTCTAAGACAAAGTGTGAATATTATTTTTATGAGTCCTTTCTACAGTATTCCAAAACAAACTAATAAAAAAATCAGTATTCGTGTAATATTTTGTGTGTATTACTTGAAACTGTGTGTGTGAACAAGGAGTTGGACGGAAATATTGTCTTGAACAGATAGCTGTTACAAAAATTCCTAGGAGTTGGGGTAGGTGATAGTTCCAGATACAAGTAGAATTCCACAAAAAGAATGAACAACTGCTACAAATGGAAACTTAAAACACAGGCCACATAAAATCCACATCTTCCCTTTGCTTTAGTAGATTAAAACATCATGACAGAAAGTCTGAGGCAGTTTTTGCTCAGATTCTCAAGGTGTCCCAGATGTAGGAAGAAACCCTACACACCACACACACACACACACAAAACAAGATTTATTTCAAGTTCTGTTGGAGGCCAGTCACTCCAGTCTCATTGGGTGATGAATTCCCTGATCTTTGGAGCCCTACCCTCCAAAATACAATCAAGGACCTTGGATAGCTCCTTCAAAATTTACCCTACAGGTAATATCAGATTTGCTAGCCTCCCATCAACAACAGGTGACTTAACTTTTCTGAAATGGAACTGACCTGCCAATGGTTAAAACAACATCAAGAAATTCAGAGTTCATTTCAAAACTTTGAGAGCAGAGTGGTATGTGCTGGGAAAAGTTGAAGTTGGAACCTCTGCAGAATAAAGATTCACTGTAATAGGAGAGCACCTGTAAGAATCTAAGCAGAGCTGTGCTGGATTGAACTGAAAACCTATTTTGTACAATTCCAATGAACTAAGCTGGCCCCGTAATAATTCTCATTCCAGCCCACAGAAGATCTAGCAGTAATCCAGTTCAGATGGCAAGCAACAAACCAAGGGGAATCTAGGTGTTACCTGATGAACTGAAAGTTTTCTGCAATTAACAAGTACTGTTCAGATGTATATTTCTGATTTCAATGAGAACAAAGTTTTAATGTGAACAGATGGTGCTGTTGCCAAACACTCTTTCATGATCCTATACTATTTTGGTGTAGCCTCAGTTATTTATTACATTGATGAGAACTGCTGGATAGCTCAGTGATAGATAGCTCACAGATAGCTCTGTGGAGCCAGAGGTTGGGAGCTCAATTTCCCACTGTGCCTCCTTGACAAAGGTGGACTTGATGATCCACCGGGTCCCTTTTAGCCATGCAGTACTAAGATAATGCTGATTATATTCTTTCCCACAGTTTATCCTCCAAACAACAACTCTGTGAGTCAAATCAGGTTAAGAGAGTATGATGAATAGGAATGCACTCTTTCATTTGTTTGGACTCTTAACTCCCAGAATTTTCCAAGAATTATCCAGGCAGAATTCTGGGAGTCTTAGTGCACAGATGCACACTGATAGACATCTACATTTTGGTTATCTGGATCAGGACCTGCCCCGGAAGCTGGAATAACAGTATATAACGCATCAATAACAAAATAAAATAACTATCACATAATCAAATAGTAAGTATCGACAATCAAAAGTCAGATTTCATAACAATCTTATACCTGGCATCAACAATATAAGAAAAAAACAGCAACAATAATGAAATAAATAAATAAGTTTTATTCTGTGGTATTTAAAAACTACATTTTGGGCATGCCTGTTAAAGCAGCAGCAGAATAGTACAGAGGAGAAAAACACCACCATTAAAATGACTGGTTGCAAGTATTGGTAGGAAGAGGATAAATACATCCTTGGGCCCAGATGTTTAGCAGAGCTACATTCTCTGATAACAATAGAAGAAACCAGAAGCCAAAACAAAAGTCTTTTCATAGCATAGTTGGGAGATGCAAGGTCATCATGGAGGCCTGGCCAGGCAGACATGGGAAATCTAGCCGGGATGACTGGCAGAGCTACCATCTTCATCTGGCACAAGGCATCTCCTGGGCCAGGCTGGCATTGTCCTTTCCCAGATGATCTCCTTGCTGCTGCTGTTCAGGCTGGCCTTCTCATTCTTAAATCTGCATTTTCACTCTTCTTCTTCTTTTAAAAGTTCTACAACATATTTCTAAATGCCCCGGTTAGTCTTCTTATGAGTGTGGTCCCACACCTGCAGCTTCTAACATCAACCTAGCATAAAAATATAGTGAGGACCCTGAACATTTCTTCCTCCACTGCTCCCCACAGGCAGCTGGAACTCAGTCTCCCACCCCAGTCTCTCATCCTGGCCGACACCAGTCTTCCTCAAGACATGGATAATTTATGCCCCTGGGAGAATTTATGCCTCTGAGTCCGTGAATCCCCCAATCTGGAATGTCAATGGGATGCCTCTTTGACTGGCACCCGCATTCCGAACGGCCCCCTTTCCCCCATGTGGCCCCTCCCTCCCACTCACACCTGCTGAACTGCCTCCGGCTCTGGCTGCAGCAGGGAGGGGCAGGGAGGCCTCCCCCTCTACGTCTCTGCCCCTCATCCTCAGGCACAGGCAAGGTTGCTATGGCAGCTACCTTTCCCAGGGTCCCCGGAGCCTTGAGCTCCAACATGGGTAGTGCTGAGGTGAGACTCGGACCACAGCAGGAAAAGCAAGGCAAGGGTCTTGTCTGAAGACTCTTTATCTTTTTGTGCTGTCCTGTGAAGGGAGTGTTCTTGTTAAAAGAACAAAACAGTAATAGAAACTGATTTAAATAAGAACCGAGAAAGCATCCCACTGTCGATAGGAGTGGAGAATGTTGCTGAGTGAAGACAAGGCTTGTCTTGGTTCATTGTGGAATTTCTTCATTAAGGTGGACACAGAGTGATACATGTTAGCTCTACTATGGATTTCACACCTCCATCCACCAATGGTGTGCCAAATAGCAGAAAAGAAGCAAGAGACGTTTTGGAGAACCAAGGAGGGAGAAGGGTTGTGGACACTTTGTGCCAGTAGAGAATGCCAGGAGCATTCATTGATGCCTAATCCCCTCAAGGATCAGGCCCACTGGATCCCACTTTAATTGGAATAAGAAAGATTAAAAGAAGTGTTAAGAAAAGATTGAAAGATTTGACAGTTGTCCACTATGACAGGGGTCCCCAACCCCCGGTGCGCGACCCAGTGTCAGTCTGTGGGCTTCCCAGAACTGGGCCTCAGAGATGGATCTCTGCCTCCCCCCGCCCACCCGCAAGGTGGGCATGTCATGCGCACACAGGGGGCGTGTTGCGCTTGTGCAGGGGACGTGTCCCTACCCCTTGCACACAGAGATCCACCAACTGGTCCACAGTCCCAAAATGATTGGGGACCGCTGCACAATGAGACCCATCCTGCAAAGTGCAAGTAACATACCCATGGGGGGAAAAAACAGATTGGTGGGCAGTTTTATTCTACTCCCAAGCGGAGTCCTGGAAATATAGCACCCTCCTTCTTGAGATGACTAGAGGCAGAATTGTTGTAGGGGACAAAGATCTCAAAGGATCTGAGCAACTCTAAGTAAATGAGAGGAGTCCCTGACACGGGAAGCTCAGGGACCATTTAGAAGAGAAACACACAGAGCAAGCAAGCCAAAATGCCAGTCACTTCTCTCTCTCTCTCTCTCTCTCTGAGAGGATCCCTGCTCAAAGAGCACAACAATAGAGATCAATTTAAATACTTGTTGTATTGGGGCAACGTTCAAGACAGAGCCTTCTAGTTCAAGATGAGCCTGAAACAAACTACCGGGAAAGAAAATGGCAAGAGTGGGAAGAGTTACAACCACACGTGCAGAAGGCAAAGGAAGAAATCAGATGCGGGTTCCAGAGTTTTGAACATCCTGTTAGGTCATTAGGTTGTGTCAGGGCTTGAGTTATGTGGCATTAAACACCAAGTTCACAGAAGTTCACTGTTCTCCTGCAGGATCTGAGCAGAGCAGGGTTCCCCGTGAGATTAAAGAGAAAGTAGATCCCAAACCTCTCTCTGCTACTGTTCTTTGACAAATCTTTGACTGTTCACCAAGTCGAGAAAAGAAAATGACTATAATGGAAGATATGGAACCCTTCACACAGCCCATAAATCATCTGCCACAAATGAGCTTCAGAAGAAGGTATTTCAGGAGATCAGAATAACTCTGATCACAAGGACCAGACCCAGGTCAAATCTAACGACTCAAAGAAATGACATTCATAGGCTTGGCACAGGAACAAAAAATGTTCAGGTTATTGCCAAGCCCACCCTCATTATTTTTTGTGTGTGAAGAAGATATTCAGGAACATGGATGCATTGCACCAGTTGGTCACACAAAGCTCTGGACATTGTGCTGGTAGGGGAACATATGCAACATTTTATCACTGGACCAGATCTAATCCATGAGAATGGATCATAACTGCTTGACCCCTGGGGAAAAAACCCCTGGTCTCATGGACTGCAGGGCACCTTCAGTTCTACCGAGGCCCTCAAACCAGGTCCTTCACCACAAAGCAGATGGAGACACTCAGCAAAGGAGAAAAGTCAAAAAGAGGAGGACACAATGACCACCACAACCCTGGTGCTCCATTCCATGAAGGAGAGAAAGCTTGGAAACAGGTTTTCTGGACTGGATGCTTCAATTCAGTGCAAAGGAGTCTGCATTTTGCCCTTTCTGGGCAGCTGCCCTGAAATATGATCCATCAGGCAAAAGCAGCCTTTCAGAGAAGCAGAATCTTTCCCTTCGGGAATAGAAGACAGGATGATCAGTTCTGAGCAGAACTGTCACAAGGCATGGGAAAATCCTCATAAAGATTGGAACAGAAAATTTCTATGATTCAGGATGAAGCAGGTCTCCTTGTCCATACACCCCACCTTAGACTATGATTTAAACAACAACAACAACAATTTGAGTGTAGTTTGTAATAAGGATGGGGGGATTCATTGGATTCTGCAGTCTCAATGAAAGTAGTATTTTGCATGTCCACAGATTCCTTGCAAGAAAAAAACAAGCTCAGCTCAAGAATTCACATATTTACAAGGCTTATAGGGCAAGTTCAAACTAATACGCCCACAACAGAAAGTGTGTATTTTAAAATATTAACAACTAAAATGAACATAATTATACAAATACTTCAGTCAATGGAAATAAGTTGCAAAAACAAACTGAAATGGGCACATTAGGGAAAATATTAAAAAGAACAGAAACAAGGGTGGAAAGAAAATGTAGACAAGATGCAGAGAAATGTCACAAAACCGAAATAGATGTTCACAGCTTTATGGAGAGTTGTTCTTGCTAAAGGTTGGCCATCTCCCTCCACCAGATGGCAGACTTCAATTAAAGATGAAGAAACAAATTCTATGGAAATCAGAAGTAAGGTGGAAAATAAAAACTCTTATTCAGGGCATTAGCTTCAGGGATTATGAGGGCACTAGTTCTATTACAGAAATAAAACCCCCGAAGCTTTTATTTTTAAGAAAACTATTTTATTTATGGAATGCTGAGAATGCTTCTGCCTTCTAGGCATTGGATTATAACTCTCATCATCTTTGGCCAGCATGTCAGTAAGGGATGGTGATGAACAGAGTTCAACAACTGGAGGAGCACAGTTTCCTCACCCCTGACTTCATTGGACAAAATCTGTTCAGAGGAACGTGCCTTTGTAATGAAAGAAATATACTATACAGTACATTGTACATGTGAAGTTTCAGCAAGCTGCGGAAGGGTACCAAATATTTACCTCTAACACATCAAATTTGGCGGTTTTGACTTTGGACCACGTTTTCTTTAGCCGGGCTACAGGACTTAAGTTCATACCTGCTGAAAAGAGAAAGAAAACAAACTGAAACGTTTCAGTAATTCATTTAAAATGTTCCTGCAGCCAAAGCAGGCAAGGTATATTTAAGGCCGTGTCGGCCAAAGTGGGGATCCCTGTACATTGTTGGATTACATTTCCCAGTATTCCTTACAATTGGCTCTGCTGGCTAGGTAGTAATAGAAGTTGGGAGTCCAACTTCTTGAAGGCCAGATTCTGCTCATCCCTGATTTAGGCTCAACACTACATCGTGGTCTAGCTCAGGGAACATGTCTCATCCCACAATTCCCTTGACAATGGGATGCTAGCATTCGAAATATTAGAAAATGGATATGGAACCATGAATTCCTTTCTATCTTTCCTCTCTTCAGACTGAATTTTTCTTTGCCTACCATAACTGTGATTAAGCATTGCACCAGTGCTAGTAATAACATTAATGCTTAACTAACATCATTCTGAACTTTCAAAACACTGGATAAAAATTGTCCTTAAGAGAGGAACGTTAGTTTGCTAGTTTAACCCTAGTCTTCTTGTTCCCCTTACTTGGTGAATCAGAATGGGGAAATTTTTATTCTGAGGGAACAAAGAATCATGCTCTGTCTTCCTCTCTGATCTGATCTCCTGTGTTACTTCTGTGACAATCTCTGATGTTTTAAAGAAGTCAGAATCCTCAATAGCTGGATGATACACAAAATGTCATTTTCTCCTAGTTCGTGAGTGATTCAAACAGCAAGTTTTGTTCTTAAGGGCTTTCCTTTCAAACAGTTCAAGTGTACAGAGAAAAAAGTGTTTAAACAATAAGAAGGGACAAATATGTATCACACACGCAGCCAGACAAACCAGGATTGACTGTACCTTCCTGACTAACATAGTTAGTAGTAGCATAATTAGACTTGCCCTCTCATAATTCACCTAAAGGTTCCTGTAGGCCAGAGTAAGCTTCGAGTTTTCTTTTCCATGCCTCCCATTTATCTACTGTCTCCTACATTGTGATTATTTGCAGTCTTCCCCTTTGCAATATCTACACTGCCCATTTGTCATCCAGAGTACTGCATTTTCCGTGGGAAGTTGTATCTCCTCAGATGCCATTATTCTACTGATGCTGTCACACGCATTGCCCTCAGGTGTCTTGCAGAAGAGTACTTACAGATAATGGCCATCATTGAATTAAAGTTTCCAATGTTGAAGCACTCTCTGGCCACGTCAATAAAAAATTCCACTATTCTTGTTCGCTGCTTCTTCTTCACCACCTGAAATTAGAAAAGGATGCCATGAGCAGGAGTAGGGGAATTGCACTTACACAATAGAAGCCTTCAATTGCCGAGAATATAAAAACATTTACTTGGAAGAGGTACCAAGACTTCCTTCTTAAAAAAAAAAGAAGAAAGAAAGCCTTCAGGGTACTG